AAAAAAACAAAATTACAAATCCTCGAAAACTAATTACGTGCGACCATCTAAACTAAAATAGTGCTTTAAAAAAAAATCCAAATCAAAAAATCCTTTATAATACACAATATATCCCCCCCAAAAATTACACAACCCTTTTTCTTTATTATACTATATAATTAATTTTTCTACCATAAATTCCTTAAAAATTTTCTATTTTATTCAATATTAATATTATTACCATTAAAAATTAATTTTCAATTAATATATATATATATAAAATACCGCAAAATACAGAATTCAATAAAATTCAAATAAAAATTTTAAACAAAATTCAATTTATTTTATATCCATTCTATAAAATAAAATAAAGAATTCAAATTATATTATAATCTATATTTATATTTCAACATATATTATATGGTAATTAATCCATGTTATTTCATCCTAGAATAATTATAAATCGTGGAAAAAAAAGATATTTTTCGTGGATCTTTCCCGGCCTCATCGCGAAACATGGTCCTACAACCAGATCTAGCTAACATGAACCGGGACATGTCATAGTATAACCAAATAGGGAGAGACATCTTGCAGCATGACCCCAATAGATGGTTAAACATTTCCACAGCTACTCAGGGTCACTTGCAGCATCTGCGCGACCATTTGTAATAGAGTCAGGTGCAACTCAACCCAATCCTCGTGCCAATTACCAACACAAGGTGATGCAACTTGCGGAATGTTGGGAAGTTGGACCTAGACTTTAGCGGCACATTCGCGAAACTTTCGCGAAATTTCATTGGTGCTTTCTCCGGGAAGCCGTAACATTTGCAAACATCTGCGCAGCTCGTCAGAGCAGCTGCAGGTCGTTGCCTCACTGTCAGGGCTGTGCCTACCCAGATTGCTAATCTGTGATAGTGGGGACTTACGCACTGCCAGGGTTGGGCACGGACATGTTGAGGCTTCAGTTCGTTAGTCTGTGACATATGGGGACACTTCCGCCCACTGGCTCTGCCGGAGGATTGCCTTGCGCTTCTATTCTTTGTCAGTCCGGTATAAATGAAAACAATGAAAGCGATGACCTTCGATAAATCTTTCGCGGAAAAAAACAGATACTTTCGCGAACCTCATCGCGAATCTTTCGCGGATGGTTCTAACAACATCTGAAAGGCTGTTTTATATAAAACTCCTTACACGGGGTTTTCGATCAACTCCCATATATTGAAGTTTGTGTTGCCAAATGTGTGATCGTATGCGGTTTTGAGCCTGGGTATTCACGGCGCTATAGGGTGTTGCTGCCAGATTTGTGGCCGTGCACGCTTTGGAGGTAGTTCGCAGGTGCCGCTGCAGGGTTTTGCGAGATGTCCATGGCCACACGCGCTTTAGAGAGATGTGTGTGGCCATGTGCGCTTCAAAGCCTGGATGCTGGTGGATATAGGCAGAGCATATGAGTGCTACACGCCTAAGAATCTCGCAAACTACTAAAGATTACCCAAGCATTGGGCGCTGGTGCCGCTGCAGGGTGCCGCCGCTGGGTGTTGCTGCCGGGCATCTATGGCAGTGGAGCTTGGGTGTTGCTGCTGCTGCTGCCCAAAATATCTTTTGCTATCTGGGGTCTGCTGGCGTAATTCATTTCAAAGGTCGAGCAAGTTGAAACAGTTACGTAGATATTATAACTATAATAACATTAAGTACTTTTTAAGCATGCGTTCTAGTGGATATCCACCATAAAAGGAAAATTATCCAAGTATAAAGTACAAATAAATGCAGGCCTTGGTATGGCAATTTATTCTTGGCCTTGAGAGGCCTTGGATTCTTCCGTTTTGGAATCCGTCCATTTACGTGACGCATAATTGGGGTTTACAGCTTTCACATGACACGTCTGGGGTGACTGCAAAAGGCACGGCGGATGAAGGCGGACTTGAAGAGCGAGGTTGCAAACCAACCGATGGTCTCATCGAGCATACCGCAACCCCTTGCGGTCTTGCGCTTTGCGGCTGGCAGGATTGAGAATCCATGGCTTTCAAAGGATGTTGTAGGCCGTAGGCTTGGATATCCAACTGTGTTGATTCTGTAATGACTCTGCAGTGGCCGTGATGAAACCGCCATCGAACAAACTTTCCCTTGCTCGTGCGATGGATAATCGTGACCGCATCATATCAGCGCCTTGTGGAGAGGTACTCCGCCACATCGGTGCTTCCAGAGCGCAAGAGCAAGGCTTTCAAACGTTTTTGCTCATGGCCGAGCCGATCAACCTGGGAATTGAGTTCAAAAATAGCGCTCCAATCCTTGCGAACCACAGTCTGCATGACTTGGATTCCGAAGGGACGGAAACCTAGACTAGATGAAGTGCCAACGATCTGCTCTGTGGCCAAGAAGTCTTGTGCAGAAAAGCAAAACCTTTCGAACTGCAAGCCTCAAGCCAGTAGCCGGCTAATCCTAGAATGGCCAATTCTTGAGGCTCAGAGATTTCGGATTGACATGCGCAGTCCCTTTGCACCTCCGCAGTTTTCTCTTGCATCTTTCTCCTTGAAACTCAAGACTTGGGGAACTACCCATGTACATTGTTGACATTGTTTCACTTCGTTTCCAGATTCTAGAGTAGCAGCTGTTGAGAAGGGCTCTCTTGTAATTCACTGAGGGAAAGAGCATTCTTTGCAGGATGCAAAAAACATCAGCACACTTCGGCCAATGCTGGACCAGCACATCAGCTTCCCCATCAACGGCCGACCACAACAGGGTTTGGCGCCTCCAATATTCAATTTCCTCCTCACCAAAGCCTTTTTCAACATCCTCCAAGCCTGATGTGCACGAACTTCCTGAGGTACTGATGGGAGCAGGATGTTTTGTGGAAAAGTACAATGAAAAGCACAGAAACATGAGCACTTCCACATTCGTGCAAACGTATGTATGTGGAAAGTCAATATTTCAAGTCTCAATCCCTAGGTCCTAGGTTAGGTCCCTCGTTGTAGTGGCTTATCACATCATGTCACATCTTACCACTAAATCACTTGCTCATCACTTGCTCAGCGAGACAAAGGTTTAGCCGCAGCCAGTCACTTCCAACACACAGCTCCAGTCAAACTGCATGACGCGTGTATATATGTGCAAAACTCAACTGGTGACTTCGGGACGCACTTGCACGTGGCTTTCTTGCCTCCGCCTCTGTCGGTACGAGATCTGATCGTTCACAGTTGTTTTTACACACTGCATATTCTTCAGTCTTGCCATAACACATTCCAACACAAATTGTCTGAAAACATTTTGAACACTCCCGTAATGTCGCCACAACGAACAGTTTCAATTGGTTGAGCCAGCACACCTACCTTTAAAAATATTGACACTGACCAAGACTTACTTGTGGCCCAAGGGGGGGCGGCGAAAGCTAGGGGAAGAAGCAGCGCTGGGGCAGCAGAGCCCAGGCCGGGAGTCGCAACATATCATGGTGGAGGGCAAAGGGGGAGAGTGCCAACATGTGCCAACAGTACCCCCACCCCAATACAACCCCATCACAGGAAAGCCTCAACCACGCCAGCAACAGCAGCAGCAGCAGGCAGCAGCAAAACAGCACCAGCCTGCGGCAGCGGCAATGGCAGCGGCAGCTGCAGCGGCAAAGAAGCAGCAACAAAGAAACAGCAGCAGCAGCGGCAAAGAAGCAGCAGCAGCAGCAGCAGCAGCAGCAACAGTTGGGAACTGAGAAACGGTCAGGGGGGAAGGGGGGAGTTGAACCCGCAAAGGGAGGGCGGTATATCTTTGATATATCAGATGTTAGGAGGAGAGCTACAGCTAGCTTTCGTGTACGAACCTGCTGCAGCTCTGCTTGCAAACTTGCCACCTGTGATTCAAACTCTTCTCACAACTCGGCCAACTCTCGGCTAGCAGCAAGACGCAGCAAGTCCCACATGTTGGATGTTGGTGATCATTCTAAGCTATCGTGCCGATTCTTCTATAATGTCTTCTTGGAACCTAGAAAGACCACCTTGAACTTTGAACCCCAATGCCATCTGGAAAACAACATAAGGCTAGTCTGTCTCCACCTTGGCCTGGGAAGCAGCAAGTGATTGCTCGGCCTGCGACAAGCCTCATTGCGATGCGGGCCAAACAAATCTACAGTAGGCACATCTCTAGACGGTATTTAAGGTGCAGCATCTAGCTCTTCATGTTTATATATGAGTTCAAGGATGTTCAAGGTATGCTTGCAGGGGCCTTTTTGTTGAAATATGATGTGTTTTTCAAAGACCCGATAAGCCGGGCATGGTCAAGGAAAGGGACTACGGTAAAATGAAAAGGTTCAATTTTTTGGGGGAATGTGGGTGCCTCTGGAGGGAAAGGCTGAGTGGAAGCGAAAGTAGAATACCTTGAATAACCACCACTTGGCAAGCTGGAGGCTCAAATCAAACAAGGAGACACTTCAATTTCTGAGAAACAATTTCAGAAACATGCCAAATTGCAAAATAAAAACATGTCATCCGGATTTGCTGCAATTGCAGCGCTAATCATGGTTTCCTCCAGATTCCTTCTTAATTAATTGGAAAGAAGCCTTTCGTGGCAGGTTCCCCAAACACTCAAACCGCCAGTTTTGAAATACGGCATGTTGAGGGTGAGACCATGTCTTTCTGTCTTAGAGCATCATCAAATCCTGAAACCACCCCCAATAGCCCCAATAAGCAAACTTTGGTGGAAATCAGGCATCCAGCAGCAAGCGTGATTTTGGGGCACAATTTTGTGGGGACCTGCCTCTCCATCTGCCTGCTGGTTTCAGGGCAAACTTCTACCTACTAGACAGGCTCTGCGCAGTGTCCAATCTAGATGTTATCTGTTTGATGTTCTTTGGCCGAACATGGCCGAACAAATTTGCAGTCGACGGATCTCTAGAGTCCTAGAAGTAGGTTCGGTTTCCCTAAAAATCTAGGAACTAAATCATCAGTGCCAGCGCTTCTTCAATGAAGCTTTGTCCGCCGCCTTTAGGGCGGCGGGGGGAGCTTCCTTGAAGAAGAGTGAGCTATCCTGCGTCCTGTCAGTAGTAGCTTACTTGTAGCTAGTAGCTACCTCTCCCTTACTTAATTAAGTAGGCGCCTACAAGAGAGGGGAGCGGGCAAAAAGAAAACATAAATAATCTTCAGACCGGTTCGACACGACATGGAATATTCCGACCCTTAGCACCCAGGCTATGCAGCAGTCCCTGAGTCTTGGTCATCATCTCCACCTCCTGTGCTCGGCCATTAGCCACCATCCGCTCCACTTCCTCACATGTGGATCGACAATTATAGATATTATAGGGGGCCCCGAAGAAACGGGAGTAACTTTGGTGTGGCCCCCTGGTCTGGCATCTTAGCAGCGGTCCAGGAGAAGCCTCAAGAGTAGAAAGCCGACGACCAGAACAAAGAGGAAGAGGCCAGTGTTGATGGGCGTGGGAAACAGTTCGGCTTCCGCCGCTCTAGGAGATGGTTGGTTGTTTTTGGCTGGAAGCCATATGCTATTCCATATGTCATATGTCTTTGCTTTTGATGCTTGGATTGTCTATCCATATTCCCGCTGATGGTGCGTGGTCCCATTGATCCCATTGTATGCCATGTTGCTGCAAACCAGATGTGTCTGTAGGATGTTGTTTTCTTCAAAGTGTTTGGTAGAAGGGCGCAGAGACGGAAACGTTACAACTTCATGGAGGCTCGAGACAGAGTTGAACATTGGTCATGCTTGACAGTGTGCGCTTTGAGATGCTTTGAGTGTGTGAGTGCGAGTGAGTGTGTGTATGTCGGTCTGTAGTTTGTGTTTTGTCTTCATCTGAGCTGTGAGAATCGCCAGGGGAACCGTCATACACCTGCTTCCTTTGATATTGTATACCCTTCTTTTCTGGGTGTTCCAGCTTAGATGGTGTATTGATAGCGTTCTATTTATGCCATGTATCCGGAGCCCCCTATAATACAGTTTAGAACTTTGATTGAATGAGGCATATTGTTGCAGTTCTTTCACCGCGCCCGACCGGTACTTCATTGTTCAATCATGCCATAACTCACTGCCGGGACCTCAAGAGAGTACGATGCTGTATCATCAGGCATCATAAATAGTTCTAATATGAAGATGGAGTGGTATTCTACACGACTTTGCGCCCTGTCGCATGATTGGTATTTTCTGAAGCCTCCTTCTTGGGTTGCAGTGGAGTCCCAGGGTGATGTTGTTTGCAAAATACTTTCTCTATGATGGACCCCCGGGGCTTGCCGCCGAAGCTGTCTTAGCTAGAGTAGTTCCTCAGTTGGAAAAAGTACCAGTAGCTTCATAGGACTTCACAATGCTTCACATGTCCAAGCTTTATCGTCATTTGCCCTGCCTTGACGCGGCTTCTTAACTCTACTGCTTGAGCATCCATCGCCTGTCGATAAAGGCAGTTGAACTCCAGGCAACAAAGAGCCCGACACAACCCATGGCTGAACATCATGGGCACACTTTTCATCCTGGTTGGAAAAACAGAGATAAAGAAACAAGAAGACAAGCGGGTAAGTAAATCCCTTTAATACGTGCCCCCCGCCTCTTAAAGGGCTCTTATTGTTTTACTCTCAAGCCGACACGAGAAGGGTCACCGGCGACCAACGAGCTTCCGCGTCGAAGGTCGAGCAAACCAGACTGAGCTACACAATGAAGGTTCACAACGAATCAAAAGGAACGCACCATGACGCTGGGGTATCCTTACCATATTTTCTGTGCCTTTCTCCTCAAGCATCCAAAGATGTTTTTGATGTCGAAGGGATGATTGGGTTCAATTGGGTCCCGCTAACCGCTACCAAGACGAAACAATTCGAGCACTGCTGCAAAATCTGTGGCCTTCATCTCTACCTGGAGATCGGTGTGCCTGCTCTCCTCCAAGGACACAGAACACTTTCAACATGTCAAGAATGATGAGAAAACTCTTAGTCATACTCCAACAACATAATAGAGCCCCCACTCAACCTTGACTACCGGAGTGGCACTTGATTCTCTTCAATTAGGCATCTGGTCCTGGTGTTGTGAGACACTTTCCTTCAGTGTGCCTGCAAGTCGCTGCCATGCGCTAGCATGTTAGTAACTTGCAAAAGTACCAGCTCAATTTGGGCAATATCCCAACATCACACTAGGTGGGTGAGACAACTGTCAGTCATGCAAATATATACTAGCGTGCTCATGCAACCATAAGGTCCAGTGATCTCACCAATCGCTCTTCTGCCAAACAGCCCATGCACGCATATGCTATATTTGTATTATATGTTTTTGTATAATTTTGTCTCTACAACGAAACAAAATTGCTAGCTTGTTCAGCTGGCGCGAAAATCATCGACGCTTGGGCCATTTATTTGGCTGCTTCCAAACCAAAGCAATACTAGCAACTGAACGGAGATGTTTGCCACAATTTATCCAACCACACCCGGTCTTCACCTGCTCGTCTCAGAAGAGCTTGTCCACAGCTTCTCCAATACTGCACCTCTCTGACATGCGCCCGGCCCGAGTTGATCTGAATTCCTCGGACATCCGGTACATACATCTCCAATAAGCTACTAGGAACAAGTGCATCGCTTCTAGTAACAAGTGCCTTACTAGTAACAAGAAGCTACTAGGACCTTTTAAATTAGTAGCTTCTTGTTACTAGTAAGGCACTTGTTACTAGAAGCGATGCACTTGTTACTAGTAGCTTATTGTTTAAATACAAATATAGAGGATTCTATGGAAGAGATAGTTACTTAAAAGGCGCCCTCACCTCGACACGGCAATATTTTTGTGACTTTGCGTAGAAGTCAAACCAATCAATCGCACTCACTCCCCGACCATGACACAACCAGCCCGGTACTTACTGTAAATCCCCTTACTGTCGCAACAGCATCAGTGACTTTCCGACCAATTACTTTTGACATTTTTGCGTGTGAACTCTAGACTCTAGTTCTATATCTATATATTATAACTTCGAAACGCTCCACTCAATTACGTTTCTTTTGAGGCCGCTGTCAAGTATATTTACGCACAGGCTGGAGACAAAACCCTGGTCCGAGGGATTTGCGCAATCAGTACCTAGAACCACCCCGATGGCATCTTGCTGGGGACACTGAAGAGCTTGTTTGAAAAGTGGCAGCCCCGATGCTGTCGGGTGGAGAACAATCCATCAACAACAGCATGGCACAAAGCAAATTACTTCCTCAAGAATCCTCAAGCAACTGGCTGTGCTGTGTGAGCCCAAGATTGCGGGGCTGGATGGAGATGGCCTCATCTTCTAAGCTGTCCTTTTTGCTCTGCTCTTGTTTCAAGGACTTTTCGAACTCCAACTCTCTGGTCCGGAGCTCTTCCAACCTGGGCCAATCGAAGCGTCTTACTTGTGAAGGAAATCGAAAATAGTTTTCCATCACAAGTCTGAGTTGCGTCTTTTTTAACTGATGATGTAAGGTATTATCTTTTTATTGGTGCCTACGCCAAGCCTACTTTCTACCTAGTTTTGGCCTACGCGCAGGTCGAAGTTAGGATAGGTTGCCTTCGCGGCCTACGCGCGTGGAGTTTTTGTTAATCACTGCATGGATTCGCATACGCAGCTACAGCTTTGGAAACTTTTCGCTGTTTTCGTCTATTGTTTTGCAAGGCGTTGGGTTCCTTCTTAACCATGGCGAAAGGCCTACTAACGACAAAGGCAGGCCATATGAACAAGGAATAGTTGCAAACCTTCACTTAGCCATGTCTGGGCAAAGTCTTCCCGCACCAGTTTTCGCCTACGCCCACCCTACTTTTCGCCTACGCGGTGCCTGCGCCTCACTGAGCAGTTTCCGCTGGTTTGAACATATAGTCTGGGGGGGGTCTACGCATGACTTATTCGCTGGGTAGGTTATTCCACCCCCCCAGCGAATGATTTGCTAAAACAAGAGTAACTCCAGCTAGCTGATGCTAGCTTTCGTGAGATGTTGGGTCATGTTCATGTTGGCCCAACCTGTGGTATGTCCCATGGTTCACTACTCCACTAGCCACTGCATGTAGGTTTTGCTAATATGTGCTCAACAAGATCTTGAGGTCGACGCACGAAGTTCAACACTCCCAACTATGGCTCTACAAGTAGAGATCCCCGGAACACCGGGGGGGTAGGATGGCGTAGCGCGCTAAGGGCTCAACCTTTTCTCGAGACGCCCACCACAGCTGCGGTGATGTCGGTTATGCGTGACGTCTCATGTGTCAAACATGTCTCACAAGTGTCTGGGACACTTTACATTGGTGAAAAATGAAAAAGAAGCAAAATGCTTCCAGCTCCCTGCCTCTAGCCTTAATGGCCGCAGGTTTTGCAAAGTCGCCACCTTGTCCTCTTTCCGTGGATGTGGCAGCAGTCCACCCCAGTGCGAAAACACAAGCCGGTTGGCGTCGTGAACACCTCTTCGGGCATACCGGCAAACATGCTCACTGCGTTCTCCTTCTTCTCTGTCTTCTGGATGATGCCCATCAGGAAGGACACTTTGCTTTCCAGCTCTTTGACCTGTATCTTCAGCTTTTCATTCTTGGCCCATAGGTCATTGACGATGTTTCCCGTCACATCGCTGTCCTCTCCATAGTCGAGCGGGTCCAATTCGGGCATAGGCTCCTGCTCCATGGAGTCATTCTTTTCATTCTTCCCCTTGAAGATCTCCGGGCCGAAGTTGTAAATCACCCATCCCATGGTCAGGATGCCAATCACAATGGTGATGACCATTGAGACATTTGCTCCACAATGACCCAGGTTCTTGTGCAGCCTCTGGACATATTCAACTGCGCGTCCACCAACTTTCGCTCGAAGGGCCTTGTTTGACCGGATGGGATGCATGACGATGGCATTCACAACCTTGGTGGCAAACTGCTGGGTGTAGTTCTCAGCCAAAGCCGTGCGCAGACCCATGCCTTGCGCATAGCCCTCAAGGTGAGTATGCCACTAATCGCCACTGCATTCACGCCACAACTGGTTGTAGATGATCGGGCTGGTGGTTCTGACACACGTGGCTTTCTGCACCGGGTTGATGTTGCCCTCATCATCCGGCAATTGTAGACCGTATTCACACATATCAACTCGTGTGTCATAGCCCTGCGTGCGGCTGAAAGCCTCAGTGCGCCATGATCGTGCTGACCAGGGATGCTCAACCAATGCGACGTGACCTTCTTTTCTTTGCTTTTCATAGCTGACGGCAACGAAGGTCAGGCGATTCTCGTGGTCCTCCTGTCTCTTGAGCTCCAAGTTGGCGGCGTAGACGACGCTCTTGGTCCGGTTGGGCTCTTGCGTCGGTGACCAGAGTCTGCAGACTGGGCTGTAGATCACGCCATCGGGTTTCTCCTGTTCTTGTTTTTGAAAGAAGGCTCGTCGATGCGCGGGACAGCCGCGCAGTTGTCCCTGCGGTTTGCAGTCTTGCTCCTCCCAGATGACATAGGGATCTCTTGTGCTGGAGGCAGTGATAGTCTTGGCCTTTGACAGGTCACGGTCCAGCTCCTTCATAGCAGCAACAGTTTCGTGGATCTTGTTGAGCTGACCGGGTGGCAGTTTGCTGTCCTCATTTCTCTCACAGCGCTCACGCTTGCCATCAATCTCCGTCACGGAGGCAGCAGGCTGTTGAGCAATTTCACGCACGCTGGAGTGAACTGTCTTGTCAATTACAGTCACCGCACAGACGTTGTCCCGAGGAAGTCCATCAGGGAAACCTCCTCGAAGACATGCTTGTCAAAGTCGTCCGGCGTGAAGACCTGATCGGGGTCTTTCTTCTCCTTGATGAGGTGAGGGTCCTCTGCCAAATGGACAACATACTCTCCCTTTGGCCCCAGCGTCGCCGGCTCCAACTTCTGTCCTTCGCCCCAGGCAATCTGCTTTGCTTTATAGTTGATGGAGGTGCCAAAAACCTCCAAAGCTGGCAAGAAGACAGGGAGTTGACGTCCAAGACATACATCAGGATGTCGCGCCGCTTGCCCTTGAAGTAGGTAGCGACAAGAACGCAGAGAGAGGTCACATCACGTCCTGCGTTGCCAAAGCGCATACCTTTCTCACATCGCCATGCTGGGATGGTGGACAAGTCACAGCCTTTCAGGCTCAGTGCCTTCAGAAGCTTCTTCAACTGCGGTGTGCCAATGAACAGTGAGGCAGCTCCGCTGTCGAACATGGCCACGTCATTTGGCTCCGACTTATCCAAGTCATCGAACAGGTTCACTTCCTCGTCGGACAGGTCGACAACCATGTTGATCTCCTGGTCCGGGTCAGTGTCGGCCTTCCGCTTGTTCTGAGACTGTGCTGGGCACCGTGCAGCCATGTGTCCAGCTTGTCCGCATCGTAGGCACTTGATTGCACCCAAAGCAGCTCGTCCTTGAGCCTTTGCAGAAGGTGGCTTGGGTGGCTTGCCCTTTCCCTTCTTACTCTTCCCTTTTCCAGCTCCACTTCCGCCATACGACCACTCCGGCTGCACCATGGCGACCACAGGGTAGTAGCCCCTGCTCACTCTCATTTGGTTCATCTTGTATCTTGCTTCAGGCTTCAACATAGTTCGCCATGATGTCATCATACTCGGAAGCAGCATCGCAGGCAAGGACGGGATCCTCGTCCACCTCCACATAGGCAGGGTCATCATCCGCCCACGCTGCTTGGCTCATTGAATCATCGGGTCCAATCTCCCACGACTCTTCATCCTCATAGTAGGCTTCATCAGGCTCCGGGTCATAGGCCAGGTCCTCTGCCAAGGTGTAGATGGAGTTGTCCTTATGCTTGAAGCGAGGGTCACGTCCATGACCTCCATCAGGCGTTTGGTCCTGACCGATCACGAAGTTGACGGCCTTCCTCACGGTGTCCAGAGACACCCTGTCGTCTGGACGGTGCTCATGATCAGTTGCCTCTGACTCTGAGATAGGCCAGCTCGATGGAGGTAGTACCATCCAACTTCTCTGGGAGAGCCACATCATGTGCATTCAAGTGCAGCTAGGCGCCTCAGCTGGCGCTCGAAGTTGGCCGTGTACTCCTGCATGGTCTCGGATCGCTAGCGTTGCATGGAAATGAAAAAGTTCTCAAAGTCCTGTAGAAGCTCAGTGATCGCGTCAAACTTGAAGATGGAGTCCAGGCGAGACAAAATCTCTCGCATCCCGCGATCACTCTCGAGCACATCCATCGCCAGCTCCTCGCAAGCGTCCCATGCTCTGTTCTTGAGGGAACTGAGGATGTTGAAGGTTGTTTCGGACTTGCGTCCTGATAGTTCCATCTTCTTCTCATAGAGCATCAGCCGTTTCCTGAATTCCTTGTAGTCAGCAGCCTTGCCCGAGAACTCTGGGATCAGCTCATGGGCCTTACCCATGTAGGAGGATGATCCTGACCCATTGGTGGTGGCTCCGCCAGATGTGGATGCCGTTGCCATACTTCAGGATGTAGGGAAGGGTGTAGGTTCGCTCCAGCAGGCCGTGATGATATAGTCCCTAATCGCTGTGGCCTGCTCCGCTACCAACAACAAGATCTTGAGGTCGACGCACGAAGTTCAACACTCCCAACTATGGCTCTACAAGTAGAGATCCCCGGAACACCGGGGGGGGTAGGACGGCGTAGCGCGCTAAGGGCTCAACCTTTTCTCGAGACGCCCACCACAGCTGCGGTGATGTCGGTTTTGCGTGACGTCTCATGTGTCAAACATGTCTCACAAGTGTCCGGGACACTTTACAGTGCTAATATCTTGCCTATTTACTCCTATCCAGGTAGCGTTTTAAATATTGAGAAGTCATACTTATTCAAGTCTTCCTGTATGAATCTTCTTGACCCACGGGCTGGGAAATTCGACGCGGCTTCTGCCACACAAAAAAATGCAAAACATGCCTACGCCAGCCTACGCCCCCAAGCAAAATGCCTACATCCAACCATTTGCAGGTCAACCACTGGGTCAACTTATATATAACTTTACATATATAAAAAAACAACTCAAGTGGTTGTTCCTGACCTGAGTGTGGTACCGTCTCTGGAGGTCCTTTTCCACGCGAGCAAGTGCCTGCCCAGTGGAGATGCGATGGCCATGTCAAGCTTTCATCATCCTGATTTCGATGCAACAAAACAAAACTGATCGGGCTCGCACTCATCAATAATTACTCATCGCAAACATGCCTCCACACCTCCTGTTGACGCCTCATCCTTTGCTCTTGCTGCTCCTCCCGCACCCGTGCGCGGCGATCCTGGTGGGCGGCAAGCTGTGGCAGGATCTCTTCAAACGTCCATGAGTCCGCATCGCAGGAAAACTGACCAAATGGACGTACAATACCCACTGACCAAATGCATTACGAGGTTGGTCCACTCTTGCCTCAACTTCTGCTGCTAAATCCTTGTGCTTGAGCTCTGCTTCCTCCAACTTGCACTGAAGGATTGCGCCTGTGCTGTGAGGCGTGTTGCAACCAACTACTTTCCATCACAAACTACCCACGACATCCCAGAACTATTCAAACATATTACATCATATTACATAATAGACTACAACCTCTGCAATTAACTTCTTGCTCGCCATTGCATCTCTTTGTTGGGCTGGATTGTCTGCAGCAATCACCAAGCCTCAAAGCTTCTTGTCCCCGCAAACATGCTTACTAATACGAGGTAAACCACCATATCTCGCACGACCAGAGTTGAGCCCCTTCCTTGCCGCATCTGTGCCAGCTCTCGCTGCTCTAAACTCCTCACTTGTGCCTTGTCAATGGCGGGTCAGCCAACGAAGTACTAAAGTGCAGATGGGGCATGCCCACTGAAAACAAGCAACACAAAAGGATGTGTGAGGTTGCTGCACCATCAGATTGCGTTACGTATTTTGTTGCTACCTGAACTCCGGAACAACCAATTTTGCTTCGACATGATTCAGTAGCTTGGTACTTGAGTCATTCCGAAGTCATTCCCCCAAACATCCGCGTTCTGTGGTCTTCTCATGATGCTTTGCACCTACAAGCATCACGCCATGTTTGTTCCTGTGCTCCAATAGTGGAGCCCCGCTCCTGCAATTCTTCTTCCTCGGTTTTGGCCATAGCGTCTTCGCAGCCGTATGCTTGCAGGCATTAACATTTGATCTTTACAAATTCGAATTGGGCAAGCCAAAAGAAATCACAAATTGAATTGCGTTTGACATGTGCCCTGGAAGACGTCTCTTAAGGTGCTGCTCCTCTGACAGTGACACAGTCAGTTCCTAACTCCTAGCGCAAGCTAGTCGCCATGTCGATCAGCTAAAGAGTGCTACAAATAGTGCCACTTGCTTTGCTCCTGAGGTCTCTTGAGAACGTGAGATATCATGAGCTACATGAACAGCGATTCAACATCTGCAGGACACACAATGCGTACATGATGCATCAATGCTTCATCAATGATAATGTTGCGCATGCTGGATTATGCTGGTCTGGACTTGAGTGAGCCGGCAGTTGCAAAGTTGCAAGGTGATATCCATCTTGGTGCCAGTCTATGCAATCAATGCATGAGAGCCCGATGTCTTAGTCCTTTGTGGGGCATTGTAGTCGATGTGTGACACTGCAAGTTGAAACCAGGCTTCGAGCAAAACGTCGTACTGTACTATATGGTAGTTGTATAAAAACACGACAACTATGCAACGTATTTGCACTGAGGTGCCGTAGGTATACTGTATACTGTCTTTAAATGCTTTCTCTTCTTTTGGCGATGCTCAACTGCACAACGACAGTCATTCTCTAGCGAATCTTTCTCAACCTGGTGCCTCTGTTTGCTCACAAATGATGCTCGTCTTTTTGGCAGGCATTCTGATCTTCCCATCCATCAGAGCGCGACACCTTGCGTTTTAGGGAGGTCGAGCAGCAGAAACTTATATATATATAGGTTTTACAATCCTCTCTCCCTCTCTCTCCCTCCTTCCCTCCCCCCCTCCCTCTCCCTCGCTCTCTTTGCATTTGCTTTACAACTCAAGTTTGGAAAATCCAAAGCATTGAACTACGTGAAACGTACAGACGCATGTTTCATTCATCTCTGACTCAATCAGCAGAAGTGGCTCTTTCCAAACATGAAGGGCCCCCACCAACCAGCCTGCCGTAGTACTGCTGCACCATGGACTGGAGGATTGGCGTTGGATCATCCCCAGGAGGTAAACGCGCCAGTTGTTGTAGACTTGCCCAGGGCTCTTCACCTTCCTGCGTTGGTCCCGGCCCATCCAGTAAGAGCAACGCCTGATATGACACCTATTCCGCACATATGATGGACATGAACAGTAGACATGTTACATGTCGTCCTGTTGCACCAATCCGTTACATTTGCGCAAAATATTGCAAATGGTGAACGCCGTAGCCCGTTGTTGAGCTTTTGAGCAAAATGCGTAACACTTTGTCAGTCATCCGTGGCGTTTTTTCGCTTTGCCTCAGCTTCGAGATCCGGGTCTGGGCCTCAGTACTGAAACTGCATGAAACTGCTGCTTTGGAATTCGAAACCACGTAATGAGTCATCACGGAATCAAGTAGTGAGTGCATCACAAAAACTTGCTGCAAAAGGCCCAAAGTGGCCATACTGGAAGAGAGTGAAAAAAGGAGTTCTTTACATGGCGTGTCACTTCTGTGCTCAGCGAAAGGAATTAAATCGAGAGTTGATTTTAGAAAGCAGATTGTCATTTTCCCCACGCCAACGTGTGAGCTGGGAGAACTGAATCTGGTGTTAATTTTTTGTAACAAGGCACATGTCCACAATACTGCTTTGGACAATGGGCCCAAGGCTTCAATCCAGAGTTAATTCATTGTTTTCAAAGATCTGATGACTTAAATCTGAGGTTAATTCTTTCCCAAGGCCTTCTTTCTGTCAGGGCTGCATCAAAGTGTTGGTCCATTTAATGGTGATGTGCTCAGTGGCCCTATAGGGAGGTCTTGGGGAGGAATCAAATCATCAGTGAACACAGGGTGGGGGGAGGAAGGGCCCTAGGGAGGAATTAAATCAGGAGTTAATTCTTTGGAAGAGGGTCAGTGAGCAAGGACGCTACTAGGGGCTCCTGGCCTTACTACTAGGAGCAATGTTCGCT